ACTGTCCTGTTAGTGCTGAAATCAGGACAGTTGATAGCCAATCAGATTTGAGAATTTTGTCATAGTTATGATTAAAGTAAGAATATCCTTGGCGCTTCTAACATACGTGGGTGAACAATTCCAAAGTTTTGCTGCCAGAAATGAGAATGATTTGTGGCACCACTCTTGATTAAAACTGTGTAGCATTAAAAGTTTACCCGACCCTCCTAAATTATATTCTACAAAATTCTTACGTAGATAAAAATAATAGAGGCAGTCGCACGTAAAGTGAAAAGTTGAACCATGCTTTACCTTTATGTTTGCATCGTCTCTATTTCATTTACGTGCGTACCCACGGCTTTAGCAACGACAACGGCAACGAGAAGGTCAAAAACATTGGGTTTGATAAGCGAAATATCAAATTTCGCACGTGCAGCACGCTTTTTGGTACCTTTCTTTGCCGTCCCTGCATGATCACGAAATCTAATGCACGATACGAGAATCGCGTAGCACACCCTGACGAGATTCTTATCGCGTAGGGAACGAGTCGCGAACGAGTTTGCTCCTCTTGGATAAACTTAGACAGGAAAGCACTTGAGTCGTATGCCGCAAAACCATTCCACTGACGGTAAAACTGGGTGGTTGAACGAAAGATCTTTGTACTTCGGTTGAACTATCAAACTTACAAATAGCCCATTCCAGGCTCCAAGATAGCGTATAGAGAAAAGTTGCGAAAAAACCCGCGGGGGAGCTGGGGAGAGGCAGGGAAGTGGACTGAAAGCACTATTTTCAATACCCCATTCCAGTATACCAGCTCTTGGTACCCTATGATTGGTGTTTTTTTGGCAGTTGACGTCAACCTCGTCAATTGTTTAGCTTCGCGCACGTAGAGACAAAGAAAACGCAAAGCGAGCGTATGAAACCCTCCTACACAGCAGATTTTGGCATTTTAACATTTTTCATTTTCAAGTTGGCGGGGTAGTGGGCAGACTGTGGTATTTGTAAAGATACTTAGAGGCTCTTCCCTTCTCTCTTCCCGCGTTTTATCGTTCGCTTGCTTTTTTCGCTCGTCTACACTGACCGAGGGCAGCTATAGATTTGCATCGAATGAAAAAGCCGAGGCTGTTCGCTAAATCACTTGCTTTTACTTCCTTGCGCCAATGACATCTAATACTTTCTTTATTTCGAAATGCTGTTTGTTTGGGTTTACTGGTAATCATTTTAATATGAACGAAAGTAATCTGTAAGTGAAGTTTTTCTCCTACTACAATTTGGTTTCAGGGACTTTCGTCCGTTACATTATTTATTTTTCTTTATCCTTTTCAGTTGCCGCTAATCTTAAAAAAGTAATTGATGACCCACCAAGCAGTAAGTCCATGATGTTTCCATTGGTAAGTATTGCAGTTCACCCTTGCTTAATATTTTCATTCCTTCATGGGTTTACAGACCGACAAATTTCTCTTTCTGCGTCCCGACCCCCCCCCCCTTCTCTGTAAGAGACCCAGTGGCATGGAATCTCTATCCTCACCGGGTTCTCGGAACATACGTCACCTGGTTGGTGTAGATGTTGAGATAAGGTGGGGGAGGGGCTGGATCCGCCACTGAAGGGGGTAGCAGTCGTTACATCTTCATCGGTATCAAACCTTTGAAAACCTTATACACTTTGCTCAAGCAAGAAGAACTAAAAGATTTGCACTTTTTTATTACTTGTACTCTCCGCGGGTTTCTTTTGTCTGCGTGCGCGAGAGGTCATACGTGACTCACGTATGTGGTTAATGGAGAGCTTGTGCGCAAATTTCGTCCTGAAATAGTCCTCCGAGTTTTCGTTAAGTAGCTCGTAGCCGCCAGGAATTTTCTGCATGTCACTTAAATATTTGATAACTTTCTGTTTCAGAAATCAAGCAGCAATTCAAATGAAGTTGTGGACGACAAAACTTTAATTGGATTCGCTCAACTTACCATAAACTCTTAGCACTTTATAGCCACGAAAATCATCAGTCTCTATCTTTAATTCGTTTGTATATGCCCCCTAGCCTCCAAGTGGTAATCTCTTTTCGCAAGGGCAGACAGTGGATAGCCTGCATCGGAAACACTCTAAACTGCCTGTATAGGGAAACCAAAGACAATGCATGGGCCAGCTGCCATGCAGGCTAATTACAGTGGAATGCTGTGGCTCTCCTTGCATTTACAGATATTCAGACGCCGATCATTTCAGGTGCTTAAAGAAGACGTGTCACAAAATTCAACCAAATTCAGACAGTGAGAATTGGCACCTTATTGGCTGAAACATTAAACAAACCCTTAGTGCAGTAAAAGAAGGTTTAAATAACAAATACAAATGAAAGCGCAGATCATTGGCCCATTTAGATCTTCAAGAATGTAAGATAGGCGGCGGGGTGGGGGGTGGGGGTGATTTTTCTTGGCTCTGCAGGTCTAGAAATAAGGTAGGGTCCAGATTTCTCTGTTTGTCCGGCCATGAAGTTGAAAAATCATAAAAACAAACAAACAAAACAAATGAGCTGCCTAAATTTCACATTACAGTGTTGCAATAAGCATGGTTTTGCTTATAAAACAGAAGGGGAATGATTGTACATTAAAGATTTGTATTCCATAGCATTTAACAATATTCAATGCATACGTGTACATCATATCAAAATAATTGCGTCGAGGCTATAAATTTTAAAAACTAAATCAAGAAGCTGCATTAAAGCTATTAGTTGTTTAAATGGAGAGAATATTTTTAATAAAACAACAGTTTCAAACTTCTTTTATTGATCACCCTGTTTTCATAGAGTAATTAAAGCAAGTCGTTCTTTCACCAAACTCTTAGGCCATTTTCACACAAGTTAGTTAAAAAACGCGTTTGCTTATTCTCCACTTTGGAAAGATCCGCTTCTGTTGATCTTTTTATATATGGTTCAATAGACGCTTGTTTGTAAGCGTTTGCAAAAAAAAAGGAAAACTTGTGCGTCCTGTATATGGCCTGAGAGGTCTGGTGTACATTGGTAGAAGCAGTGCCCGACCATCCTTCGCGCTTGTGCTAAGCGAGGGAGACGCTTTATGAGGTCAAATACTGTGCCTCTCTCCTTTGAACTGAACAAACACCAATTCACCAAACCTCCATTTCAAAAAAAGAGGGTAGTTGAGAAGTCGTTGTCTCACATGAACCTGAATTTGGCACCTGATCTAGTTGTAAAAGAGAGGAAGTGCCAGTTGGGTGCCCTCTTTACAGCCTCATCAAACATCCTCTGCCAGGCCTTAGTTAAACATGCAGTGGTTGACCTGTATATTTCTCTGTTGTTTGAGAGGTTTTTGCCCTTAACCATAAGTAGTGGACTCTTCAGATATCAGGGTTCACACAGTCTTGAAAAGTCCTTGAATTCCATTTTTCCTTGAAAAGTCCTTATATTCCTGTGCAAGTCGTTGAAAAGTCCTTGAATTTTCTTCATCTTTGAATGTAGTGGCCTGGAAAGTACTTTTTGATGCTTTTTGGTTGTCCGAGACAGAATAAAAATCATAGCTCAGAGAATTTAAAGGTTATTTACATAAAGAGCTCAATGTTTTATGTAATAATCAACTATCAATTCAAGACATGTGAACTGAAAAATGTAGAGACGTTGGTGGAGCAAACAGTTCAAGCCTTAAAGCCTTATTACAATAGACTGGGAATGCACATTAATTTTGTACAGTCTGTGAAATTGTATTCCTAGTAGGTGGTCGTTGAAAAGCCCTTGAAAAATGGTTGCAAATTGACAAAATGGCGCCACGAAGGGTCAAATCAGCTCCAGGGGTCATAGAGCTGAATCAGCACTTTGGGGCTGAAATTTAGTGCAAAGCCCAATTGTAAAGGACGTACGCCTTCCGTAGAAAAGCTCTTCAATGAAAAGCACTCAACCGTACGTACTTAAGTACTAGTTGACGTCAGTGATACTCATTAACGATAATGTGCAAGATATTGACTTGAATACAACTCAAGGCGGTGGGCAAACTCACGGCGAACTACGCAAAAAGTCTCGAAAAGGGAGAAAAAAGGCTCGACCACGATGACCTAAATCTATTAAGTCTAAGTTCAATGAAAACAGCTTGCCTTATCAAAGTAAAAAAAATGCCGACAAAAGTAAAAAGCTGGGTTTTTTCCGTAACACGCTGCATCACGTACCGGAAAAATGTAAATTTTTTGCGTTGTCGGTTTCCTGTTTGGCTGCATTCAGAGAAGTTTCTTAATGAGCTGGGCAGTATAAAACAACCCGTGTAAACACCAAGGATGATAAAAACTGTAAAACACTTTGTGCCCTTTTTGTCTAACTGTCTCTTAAATCTTCCTTTCATAATAAAGGAATGGTTTGGTACACGACTTCTGTTTGCTGTTCACTCTTTGGTCTCAAGAAGGAAATGACAAGATGATTATTGATTCTTCCTTTTTGCCACCATTATAGCCCTTGTTGCCACACATTCTTTGAAAGAGGAAAAATCGCAATCAAATCCAGCAACTTTTACCGTGCCCGGCGTAAATAAAAAGAAGGGAGTTTCTACGACAGGCAGACATTTTATAGAAAGAACTGTTTCTCGATCAAGCTTTTTCCCTCAACATGAAGCCAAGTGTAACTCTTAAAGTGAATATCGCAAGACAAACGAATAATATCTTCTGTTAGGGCTTCCGCAATTAAATCTTGCTGAACACCTTAATGTAGACCATATATTCACCATTTATAAACCGAATGAGTTTTAATATATAGACAACACGCCGAAGGAAACACACCACAGATAAACAGGAGTACAATCAGTTACTTGTTCGTCTAAACGAATTAAAAACATAATCAACATTGAGTTGAGTAATTGCTTGGTATTTGTGTACTTGAATATTAACTAGAACACCAGTATACTTAAAGATGATTACAGCGAGGTTTAACTAACAGTGAAAAAATCATTCATTGTTTGAAAAAAAAAAAACACTTTTTTCATGCGATAGGATTAATCGCTGCCTTTGGCAGCAAAGGTCTGTTCACAGTAAAATGGAAGACTTATTCCTTCAGCAAGTCTTGGACCTTGAAATTTTGGCAACGAAGGAAGTCTTTACCCGCTTCCTTCCAGTAATTAACGACTTTCTCAACGCAACGAGAGGTATTATCATCCATGCATCTTTCTTCGTCGTGGTAGCTATCTTCTGCCTTATTGAACACGCCAGAATTCATCTTGAACTTTCCTTTCACCACAGCGAAACCTTCGCCGATGACAACTGCCTCGTTGTGTTCTTCTCCAAAGGCGCCTCTGTAGACAGCACCATGTACCTTTCCATCGCTTTTTGCAATAAACTCGTTCACTTCCTCGCTTTTAGTATCCTTAATCACAAGATATCCACCTCTACAGCGTGTACCATTCCGGGTTTCCCACTTTGTCTTGCCATTGTAGGCGTAAATGAGGACACCAGCGTAGTTATAACCTTTTCCTTGATACGCATCTGACTTGCAAGATATATGGATTGTGTCAAAGGGAAACGAAGGACGGTTTTCAACGTTTGAGAACACTTCTTGCTTCTCGGGGTCGAAATTAACGGATTCCAGTTCCATTGCGGAAAACCGATTATTTCCCCAAACTATAGTGATTTAAAAAGGAAATACAGGAACTTGCTCGGTAGCCTCCTCCGCAGTGCTTCTTATATCAAGAATTCCGCGTTACCAACGGTCAGGAATGCGTGTCTAAGCCGTACGAACGTCTACGTGGCAGGTTAGAGATTGCTCTGTTTCTATGAACACGTAAACCCTGTCGTGCAATTAACCTAAGAAAGATTCTTGTCACTTGTGTAGATTTAGCCTGCGAACAGCAGACGTATTTCCGCTCGTCGCTTCTCTCCCTCCGAAAAAGAGAAGCGACGACCGAAAATACGTCTGCTGTTCGCTAGTCTCCCTCGCAGCCGTTTTTTGGATGTCACGCAACGGCTGCTGACATCCGAAATACATTCCTTTCTCCGAATTGGCCAATCACAGCTCGGGTTCCGTTTTTAGGAACCTTTTCGCGCCAGACTCACCGTTTGAGACTTGTCCAATCAGATATCGTTTTTTATCGCGATCTCATGTGGAAATGTATCACAAGCAACACAAGACAAATGGCGGCGCTTGAAGAAGCTTTTCGCAAAATCGTCGTCAAAGTTCAAAATTTCCGAGCTTAATGCTTACCAGAAGCTTGCAATTAGAAAAGTTTTCGTCGAGAAAAAAGATGTTTTTGTTAACTTGCCTACAGGATCCGGGAAATCGTTAATATATCAAGCTCTCCCGCTCGTGTTTGACCATGTTTCCGATGAAAGCGGTCATATCATTGTTGTTGTCTCTCCGTTGGTTAGTCTGATGGAAGATCAAGCGAAGTATTTAAGAAGTCTTGGTCTGTCTGCCGTAAATATTTCTTCAAACGTTGAAGTTGACCTTGCAAAGATAGAGAAAGGAGAATATTCAATTGTCTATGGCTCACCTGAAGCATGGCTTATGAACGAGCGATTGCGATGTATGTTTAGTAATGATGTCTACTCGAGGAAACTTTGTGCGGTTACTGTCGATGAAGCTCATTTTTACGGCACTGGTAAGTCTGACTTTAATTTCCATTTCCATTATTGACACATTAAACTTTTAAAGAAGCAATTTCACTTATATTTGAAATATAAATGTGAGCAAAAATGCGAAAGAAACACACACACATAAGCCTACAGTGTATGGTGTTTGTATAGTTTTTTCGATGGACTACTAATAAATATGGAAGCTACATAATAAGCGGCATTTTAGACCCGTTTTTTAAGTTGTCAAATTTTATTTACGGACTAATAAACTGATATCGAAGAGATGCCATGGAGGAACTCAAGTTTCTCGGCTTTTCTCATTTTCTCTATGTCTTTTGGTAGGGGGTAGTGTGCTGGGGCACTTGATTTGTCAGCAAATCCCAACACTGTCATTGCAGCTGTGATCACTCGTGACTGGAAAATGACATGGAGAAAGTCCCTGTTTGCACGGTAAGAAGAATGAGGATCACCTGTTAAGTTCCTCCTGTTAATAAGTGTGCGGTCTGAGAAAAGGGTGCAGAGATCGGAATCTGACTTGCCACTGAAGAATCTGGAGTATATTAGCTGTTGAAAAAAATAATTTATGATTAGTACTTGTTGGTTTGATAGGTGTGAGGTAAAGATAGGGGAAATTCCAATAACAATAATAATTAAGTTAATATAGCAAAAATCAGCATGTCTTTCATTATTGTTATCACTGCTATTAAGAATCTAATCTCATCTTTTATGCCTGAGTTAAGGTCGGTACACACTAGGCGACAAGTTGCAGCAATGTGTTGCCTCACCTTGTTGCTGCAGCTAGTCGCCCGACCTGTACACACGGAGTGATCTGTCGCCGTGACGTGTTGCTGCAACTTGTCGCCTAGTGTGTACCGACCTTTAAAACAATCTGGGGAGGTAGGAACCCCAGTCAGAATAAACTTGCTTAAAAAAAGACATTCATTTGACAAAGTTAATTTAAGCTAATAATTTATTGCCCTAACTAGCTATTAATATTTGTGGTACTTACACTGAGAACTTTCACGGCTGCATGCCAGTCACCCAACTGAAGGTTAATGCCTTCCAAACAATCCTCTGGAGTAATACCATTTGCTACAGAGGAAATGACATTAACTGCCCTTTCGACTGGTATTTCCACTCGTCGCTTCTCTCCTTCTGAAAAAGAGAAGCGACGACCGAAAATACGTCTGCTGTTCGCAGGCTAGTGTAGATTAAGATTAACTATTAGAAAATGTAAAAACTACGTACAATGTCGAAAGATTAAACTTAAGAAGGCCCCTGGCCTACTCTGGGACCTTAAGTTGCCGTAATTTTAGGGGACGTAAGGCGATTTAAGGCGACTTTAGGCGACTTAAGGAGATATAAGGTGACATTTTGGTGAATTACATGTTAGTGTATATTTAACAATTATTGAATCCGTCTTTCGTATCGTATGTAGAATTATGGAGATCAAGGAGGGTGTAACACCCTCCTCGATCTCCATAATTCTTCATACGATACGAAAGCCAAATTCAATAATTGTTTTAATATTCATTCAAAATAATTCTCAGTTTAAAAACATGGCTAAAACACGCTTATCTCCATCGATCCATCGATGTTAAGTTCATCTTCGATAGTGCACGTTTAGGGTTGTTCAGCTCCGCAAATATTCTCCAAATAGCAGATGTCGTCCTTTGAGTTGTCTTCTTGCCGTTCTTGCCATGTTTTTAGCTACTATTACTGGGTGGCCTGTGGCACAGCCCAGTTATAAATTGGGCTCGGTTTATCCTTCTGGCACAAATCGCACTCTGGCGTGTTAAGCGCGTGCGCAAGATAAAAGTGTATGCGTAGAACAGGTCAGCGGACTTCAGCAGAGTACATTCAAAGGAGGTAGGAAGGTGGTGTAAGCATCATATAGCGGTTTGACATTAGTTACTAGAAGCAGTGTATATAGACGTACATAATCCTACATAGCCCTACTTAGCCATACACAGCCGTTCATAGTCATACATAGCCATACGTAGCTCTACATAGCCCTACAGAGCCCTATATAGCCATACATAGCCGTACATAGCCCTACATAGACCTACATAGCCCTACATAGACCTACATAGACCTACATTGCCCTACATAGACCTACATAGCCGTACATAGCCCTACATTGCCCGACATGGCCGTACATAGCCCTACATAGCCATACACAGCCCTACATAGTCCTACATAGCCATATATAGCCATACACAGCCATACATAGCCCTACATAGCCATAAATAGACCTACACAGCGCTACATAGACCTACATAGCCATACACAGCCCTACATAGCCATACATTGCCATACATAACCATACATAGCCATACATAGCCATACACAGCCATATATAGCCCAACATAGCCTTACATAGCCCTACACAGCCCTACATAGCCCTACATAGACGTACATAGCCCTACATAGCCTTACACAGCCCTACATAGCCCTACATAGCCATACACATAGCCCTACATAGCCATACATATACCAACATAGACCTGCATAGACCTATATAGCCATACATAGCCCTTCATAGCGCTACTTAGCCATACACACGCTTACATAGCCATATATAGCCATACATAGCCATACACATAGCCCTACATAGCCATACATAGCCCTACATAGCCCTACATAGCCATACATAGCCCTACATAGCCATACATAGCCCTACATAGCCCTACATAGACCAACATAGACCTGCATAGACCTATATAGCCATACATAGCCCTACATAGCGCTACTTAGCCATACACAGGCCTACATAGCCATATATAGCCATACATAGCCATACACATAGCCCTACATCGCCATACATAGCCATACATAGCCCTACATAGCCATACATAGCCCTACATAGCCCTACATAGCCCTACACAGCCCTACATAACCCTACATAGCCATACACAGCCCTACATAGCCCTACACAACCCTACATAGCCTTACATAGCTTTATATAGCCATACACAGCCATACATAGCCATACATAGCCGTACATAGCCCTACATAGCCTTGTATCTCTTATGGAGATCAGTAGGGAGAATTTGTAGGTGGATATTGCGACTTAACAGTGCCAAATGATGACTTTCTTCATTTGAAGGTTAAACAAGTTCCAGGCTCCAGTGGGAGACTACAACGGGCTGCAGATGGCAGCTGGGAGTGGTCTGATGACGAGGGTCATGGAGATGGTGATAGTGATGACGGCAATGAGGATAATAAGGATCAGAAAAAAACCAAGGTAAAAATATATCATTTAGATATTTAAATTATACATTTGTATAGAGAAGGTCAGTATCCAGGGGCGTAGCTAGCTTTTCGACTATTTGTAAGCCTGGTTGACTTTAATTTCTACATATCCTGAAAATTGCACGCATGACTAGTACGCACTGACCTCACCAACAAGCAAGTAGAGGTAGAGTTATCAAACGAAAAATTTTTGGGCCCGCGCTTACCGGTTTTTTGGGCTGGCTACGCCCCTGGTAACTTTCCAGGTTCGCATGGTCTGTGATTGAAGAATGAAACAACATAATTATTATTTAACAGAAACACTAACCCTAGACCTAAAATAAATTAAAGAAGCTACTGCTACAGGTCTCAAGTGGAAGAGCTACTGTACTGTAGTCTTTGTCAACAGTAGCTAGTTACATTGTTGTGACTGTTTCGTTCTGACAGCATACTGCTGTTCTCACACACCGGGGAAGGAAAGACGGCGGGAGGGTGAGAAAAGCTGTTGCACTGTATGGCAAGAAACAAAAAACCTGAATCACGTGATGAGCGTGAAAACTGATACCCTAAAATGTACGTCGTGTGCAGGTTCCATTCAGTACGAGACAACTTCAATTCTTGGCTCTTTGCCAAGTTCAGCGGACAAAAAAAGCATGTCTTCATTGATGGTGCCGACTTGGTTTGCCCAAACTTAAGAGAGTGGAATGCATGGTTATGAAATCCGCCAGATTCCTTTGTTGTATGTTTTAGTGTACTTAAAGGAGCACAACGTTCAATGGCATTCCTATCATTTTCATCGTATCGACCAATTAAAACGTCGCATTAATTTATTCCGTCACAATTTCTGGGCAAAACGAAAACAGACAAACAAAGGAATATACTCTGCTGGGGAGCTCCCAACATAAACTGCAGCACCGTTTATATTTTTGATATTTATCGCCTTTCATAACCAGTCTTCTCTACTAACTATGCTTTGCCAAACTGTTCAGTAAAGTACCACTGTTCTTGACAGTAGAGACCTTAAGATTCGAGGACGGGAACGACTAGGCGTACGAGATTTGACTGAACGTTTTTTCGCCTAGTCTAAAAGAATAGACACCTCGGAAAGCTTCATTGTGCTTTTAACTCTCCAGAAAAGTTAGCACTGCTATCTTTATTGAAGAATGTTAAGCCCTCTCCCGATAGCAAAATTATGACACTTCCAACGTTTGGTAGGTTGTTTCCGCCACTACTACATTCTCGTTGGAAAAAACTTGTTCTAGAATGCCGACGGCCATGTTTTCCCGCCAAAATGGGCCACGCACGCGCACTGCTTAGTGTTGAGAAAATCTCATTCTCATAGTCGTTCTCGTCTTAGAATCTAAAGATCTCTATTGATTGGTGCATCACGAACTTCACTCACAGTTGGTGGGCTTCAATTCTAAGCACAGTCTGCTCCCTGTGACGAACTTGAAAGTTCTGAATCAACTTTTTTTTTTTTTGTAAGTATTAGTGTGGCAGTTTTGTTACGGGAAATTAATTTGTGCATTTACAACATGTTATGTTGTTTAAAGGAAAACCGCCCCAAGTCAGAGGACGCGATTGTTCAAGTTCAGCTACCAACACGGACAACACCCAAACCTCGTAAGTATAAAATAATACACTTGAGTTGTCAATCCCCTTGTTAATTTTCCTTTTGCGGATGTCAGGCATTCTGTAGTTGTTCGTGGGCTAAGCTTTGCTTTGACTCGGTTTTGGCCATGGGTCCCATGCAGTTTGCGCTTGATAAACAGTACCTATCATTTATTCAAAATATTTCTTCGTTTTTTATTTGCTTCAACCCCCGCTTTGTCCTGCTAGAGTAGGCATGCAAATTTGAAAGATTTTTCTTTCTATTATTCAACGCCGATTTATCTCACCCAAACAAAAAATTGGATTGACGTCTTGCAAAGACAGAAAAAAGGTATAGTGGCTTTTTGGTAGTGCAGAGGTTAAAAATACGAAAATACTAATATATAGATTTAGCCAGGGCTAAAAGCGAGGCTCCCATTAGTATATTTATAATTTAAATCAAACAATAAACTCGTATTCCACAATTCAGTTAACTTTAGAGCACATAGCACATTCATGTGACTTTTGAGGTAAAGGCTAAGTGATTTTAGAGAAAAATAATTTGCAAACAGCCCAAGAGTGAACAAAATGTTACATCGAGTTGATAACCTCATATGTACACCCAAAAAATAGCAATCATCTTCGATCACATTTAAGAGCCATAATGGCTCTTGATCACCGTAAGATTAACTAGGCCTGGAAAAAAATCAGGTCGAATTTTTTTGCGTTCAACAAGTCTACTTTACAAAATCTTGCCAACAAATCTGGTTGCGTGTAAACCAACCTTTTATACCATTTATACATCACATCTGAGGTGAAACAGTACCATGAGGTACTGTTTTTATCATACAGACCTCGGACAGAATGTAGTATTTCACAATTTTGCAAAACAAATTGCACTCATTCAATATTCAGGACGATCGAAGCACGCGTGGGCGTTCAGCTAAACCGTTAAAAAATTTTCCAAAATCACATATACGGCCAGCCGGTTCTCACTTCTGCAGTGCGAGCTGTAGCGAATGTTTGAACGAACATACTAGAGTTAAGCTCCAACATAATAAAGAAATTATTATGTTTATTTTTTATTTCATGGTTTTATCGATGTGTAATCTTTAAAAGCGTTTGATACGCGCGGCATTTAAATGAGTACTCCTGCAAGCGATGTTCACTGAGCGGCGGACTGAAAACAAACGGCACAGCGATTAAAATTACAAGAGAGACTACCAACAATCAATAAAAGAAATATAATTCGGCAAAACATATACAGATACAACATTTTTCATTCACGAAGACAAGTATTAAAGTGTCTCT